TGCTCTGCAGCACGCGGCCGCCCGCACGGTTGCACTGCACGGACACAGCGCCGCTCGTAATCGTCAGCCCGGAGACAAGCGTCGCGCCGGTGGCAGCGCAGCGAGCAATAGACACGGCGCCGCCGCTCAGCGTCACACCCGACAGCGATGCCACAGACGACGCCTCGCCCACCGCCCACACGTCGCGCAGCTCCAGCCACCCGCCGACACCGACCGTCCCACCGTCGCAGCGCACCAGCGACGACGCGACAGACCCCTCGACGCCCACGAAGCGCAGCACCGAATCAAACACCGCGAGGCGCTCGCCAAGCACAATGCCGCCGCCGCTGCTCACTACCGACACGTTCGTCACGGAGAACACCGAGTGGTTACGCAGACTGAGACGCGACGAGGATGACACATTCATCGCGGACGCGGTCGGACCGCCCGACGCCTCCAGCGACACGCCGTCAAGCACCACCGCGCTCGACAGCAGGTCCACACCGCCGCCAACGTACACCGCCGACCCGCCCGCCCGCGACGACCTCAGCACGGTGCTGCTCACACGCAGCTGCGTCTGCAACAGCGAAATCGCGTGCAGCACAAGCGGCGACGCCACCGCGTCCGTCAGCCCGCTCAGCTGGGAGTAGCGCATCGGTCCCGGCGTCACAATCGCCGAGTCACGGACCGTCACGTTCGTGCGTGCCGGCAGGTTGTGCACAAACACGAGCGAGCAGTAGCTCCCCGACAGCCCGCTCACGCTCACCTCCAGGCTCCGGTCACTCGCCGGCTCACCGCTGTAGCCCCGCACGTAGATCTGCACACCGCCGTCGCACACGCAGTTCCTCAGTTCGATGCGCAGCGCGCCGGGAAGCATCGCCGCAACGTCGAACACCACAGCCACGCCGTTCGTGACGTACACGCCGTCCATCAGCACCGTGTCCACGGCGCGGCCCACCGTGATGGCTCTGTCCACCGTGCCGCCCCGCAGTCGCAACGGCACCGCATGCACCGCGGGCATCCACGCCGCCGCCGCAACCAGCGCCAACAGAACAAGCAGCGCCACACGCACAGTCGCAATGGCCCTGTGCCGCACGCGGTGCCGGCTGCGCGGACACGCACCCACCGCAGACCACATCCACCAACCCAACCAGGTATCAACAGGGCTGTCGTGGTGTGTCGCACTCGTCTCGTCGACCGTGCCTCCTGCTCCGCAAATCCCTTCCTACAGATGCCAAATACAGTGACCCGATTCCGCCAGGTCGTTATCCCACTGCTACTTCTACTAATAATACTACTACTACTGCTGCGAGTAATTACTAAAACCTTGAAACGCTAGTTGTGGTGGTCAAGCCACAGTATCTCTATCTGCACGGTAAAACAAGGAAGAGGCAGCAGCAACAGTAGCCAGACACAGTAGCACGCAGCGGCATCCGGCCACATATATTCCACATCACAGCCAGCGACAAAAAGACGCGCAGACGCAGTCAGCCCAGTGATGCCATCGGCCTCCCACCGCCCTCCTCACCAAATGCCTCCAACACATGACGACCCCGATGCCGTGGACAACACGCAAAAGCCGAGGCAGATACACGTGGCATTGTTGCAACCGCCAGCCATCGAGCGCGTCCGTGAACGTGGTGGTGGTGGCGCGGAAGTGGGGTGGTGAGTGCGTCAGTTGCCAGTAGTCAAGGCGTCGTTTCTCGCTCACGTGGGTCGGCATTGCAGAACAAAGAGCGGCATCATGCGCGCACGGCATGCACAAGGGCAAAAGGGAGGAACAAAGAAGCACGGTGGCGGCACTCAGCCACGGGGGACAAGGGTCCACATCGACTCTGCGGTCGGTTGACCTTCAGACGTCCGGTTTGTAATCACGCCGCCGCCGCGCAGTTCGTGTGTCTGCAGGAGACTGG